ATGAATCTGTCATGGTGCTGGTCGTTGTGTCCTGGTTGAAGATGAATCGGCAGTGGATGTATGGTCAGGGCGTCTTGTGGGGAACTGCGTCGATGATGAGCGACTGATGAAGGGGCAGGCAGGTCTCCATCCTGTCGACTCGTGTGACGCTATGATGAATGGGAGACGTGGCCTGGCTCATACCTCATGTTTATTCTACTGTCACTTCTGCCTCATCTACCTCTCCTAACCTTCCCTGCCTTCTTACGTCACACACACACACACTGTGTGTGTGTGTCGTGAGCGTGAATGTGGGGCCTTAGCCACTGAGCCACCAAGGAGCAGCTCCTTCGACGTTCAAGCGGCAAGCTATTATATCTAGCACTTATCGCTGTTCACGGGCATCTCCGGGCGAAATATGTTTTTAGGATTATCAGCAAGATGGCGCAACGAGCGCGCTTCGCCACATTGTCGCGACACAGCGGCGCGCGCTCTCATCTCTTACGCATACTTTGGCCCGTGGAGAGAAGGGAAGTGGACGCTCTCTCGCGCGCTCTCTCTCAGTGGGTAGAATCGTATGTCTTGGCTGGTGTTGGGCTTTCACTGGAACGAGTCTGTTGTTGTTACCGGGCGCGCAAAGGTCACTGCAATCGTTGCACAGTCTTCGTTTGCGAAAAAGGCGTGCTTTTCAGACACAGCGAAGTTACAACTGAAACATTCATTCGCGTTATTCTGTACCTGTGAGTACGTTTCGTGCGTCGTTTATGCGTGAGAAACGCGGGACACATTGCGATCTGCTTGTTATTTTGCACGTGACTTTCCAATTTGTTGCTATCGCGTTCATTGCTTCGCCTTTGTGGCAAAGCTGTGACTTTTATAAGAAACGAATCCAAAACACTGCAATGAACGAAGCCGCAAGTGCGTTTGAGTCCCGCAAGCAGAAAGACTACACAAATAAATCCGTGTACTAGCCATCATTACCAGGGTCGCTGAACGATCGCAGCCCCTCTCTAGTTAATTTTAGGAAACTTTATGCTTTACCCTCACGTTTCCTCCGAGTCTGTAGGAAACTCTTGCCAGATAATTTTTCAACTTTGTGACTCTTCCACGCGTAGGTATTACAGAGGGGCTTCTTTATTAACGAAAGTTAGTGGTACATTCATGCGATGGAAGTTATCGGCAACGTTCATATGTGAGGTAATCGCTTTTTAAACAAGAGTGAAATTGCTGACAGTGTCACTTAATATTGCTTGTTAATATCAGAAATGTCGATTGATATGATTATTTTTGAAATGATGAGCTTCACATATAGCGGGCGTCGAAGAAGCAGAAAAATGTTAAAACGTTGATACTATTTCAATGTGTAATCAAGAATACTCTGTGTGCGGTGTTAGGGAGTGGGAAAAGCACGTTATTACAAATGATAGTGGTTGTAAGGTGATATATTGTAACCTTTTCTTACTCTAAACATTTTGTCGAATGTTTCCAGAATTTAATCGCATGGATAAAACACCCTATTTATTATTTAGGTTAGGTTGGGGTAAAATGAGACACGGGACAAAAAACAACATTTTGATTTTGCTTACTTCTGTAGCTGATACAACAAGTATTCTTCTTTGTTTATCTATTTCACCAATAAGTGCTAGTACTTCTCTCTTTTCATGTGTTAAATTTCGTGATTTCTCATAGCGTTCGCACAGGAAAAATTATGCAGCTTGTGTCAGTGCGTTCGTGACCCATAAAAAGGGGGGCAAAATTCTGCTCGGCTAAGTTTTTGGATTCGTGCATGAAGCTACTTCGACGTCAGTACAACTCAAGTGTTATTTTGCCGCTCCATACTACTAGCTCCATACAACCAAAAGTTTGGTTCATTTGGTGCACAGTGCCAAAGCGTATTTTTAAATAATTCGAACATGTGCGAGGGGCCAAATGCAACAAGATGACATAGAAATGACTTAGAGAGTGTCTTATCAAAAGAAACATTTACTCATACTATTTATATAATTTATTTATTGTTTAGGACGGTTAGGAAGTACAGGAAAATAGTATATTGAGGTTCGTGGGTGGAAAACGTCATCAAAAAACGCTGACCACTGTTGAGGACAGGACTTACTCAAATCGCGCTACATCAAGGCTGATCCTCGTTCCCAAGGGTGCTTTCAAAAGGTGCATGAAAAAATTGAAAGAACCTCCACGTCAAGTCGTTTACAAACGCGTCTTGAAATCGAGCTTCAGTAAGATTTCTCTCATACCTAAATTCTAAACATAAGAAGTGGTAGAAGATCCGGAGTCCATCGTCTCACAAAGCTGGGCTGACGAAGTTGAAAGCCACAAAATTCCCATGCAGTTCTGCATCAAAACGGCCAAAAGAAACGAAGAAAATGCGTCAAAGCATAACTAACCTCCAATCATTGAATAATATAATGAAGCCCAAGTTTTCAACAACAGACCCTATTAGCACAAAGAAAGACTGGGGGTGCTCGATTCTAAGAGTTCTGGAGCAAAACAGCGCCGGGTTCTGTCTAGGTCCATTGCGTGGAGTGCAAGGAGAGGGCTCATGAAGACTACGTGGGGGCCCATGGAGTGAATTTCAGGTGTTAGCGGATACCACGCTTCTCAAAGGAATGACAAAAAATAGCCTAGCGCATGCAGGCCTACTAGCCTAAAATTTTAGGGGCAAGCTCTTTAGGGTCGAGCAATCTCCCCTGTTCGTCAGCGTGACACGCTTGGCACATACCCGCTCTAGAGTGGGTATGTGCCACAGGAGATGCGAGATGGCGGTACTTGTGTTGACAAGATGGACGCACCGACGGACCCACGGACGGACGGCTAGACAGACTAGCAGACGGACGGACGGATTGGCGCACGAATAAACGGACAGATGGATGGACGTACGCATGGATGGACGGGCGGATGGATGGTCGCGCGGACGAACGGAAAAAAGAATGAATAGACGCACAGGCTGAAGGCCGCTTCGCTCCACTCGTCATCATCAACTCCGTGATTATGCTGCGATTTTTCTTAACGCACAAAAACGACGCAAGAACAGCGTTCACGTGAATATCATTACCAAAGTTCTTCAATTTATATGTGGCGTGTAACGTCCCAGAACCACCATATGAATACCAGGGACGCCGTAGTGAAGGGCTCTGAATATTTTGGACCACCTGGGATTCTTTAACGTGCACTAAAATCTGAGCACACGGGCCAACAGCATTTTCGCGTCCATCAAAAATGCAGCCACCGCAGCCGAGATTCAATCCCATGACCTGTGGGTCAGCAGCATTAGCCATTAGACCACCATGGCGGGGTTACCTGAATATATATATATATATATATATATATATATATATATATGGCACAAGGGGAACATCGTCATATAACTCATCCCCTGATGAAGGGAGGACCCCTCCCGAAACTGTTGGGAAATAAATATATTTATCCTTGTTGACAACGCTTCCGTTGTGCCAAATCCCATACCTTCACGAAGACTAACTGGCCCATTGAATTGTTACTCTCACTGTATATATATATATATATATATATATATATATATATATATATATATATATATATATATATATATATATATATATATATATATATATATATATATATATATATATATATGATTCAAAAAAGAAATTCTGTGGGTCCGGTGCAAATATAGTGAAGAATAAAGGAGCACACTTACGAAAATTTGATAATTGTTTACTCTACGTTTCGGCCGTGGCACGGCCTTCGTCAGGATTCCTGACGAAGGCCGTGCCACGGCCGAAACGTAGAGTAAACAATTATCAAATTTTCGTAAGTGTGCTCCTTTATTCTTCACTATATATATAATATATATATATATATATATATATATATATAATATACATTGACTATTGGTACATGCGCTGCTACACGAGAACAATTAGTTTTGCATATTCTCCAATAAAGAAACATTCTGTGCAGCAATACACTGCCTGCTTGGACTAATCCTAGAAGCATGTTTTTTTACCTAATAAAGCCATAGTGGGCATCAAGCAGGTGTTCTTGCAGCAGTTACCGAATGACTGCTTAGAAAATGCTCTGAAAGGCCGCTCTTCTAGCTTTCGCTGTGACTGTACTGCGCCTTCCACGCAAAATTCTGCATTATTTTTTCACTCTGTCTCATTTTGCCCCATGCTGTGTCTAGTTTTGCCCCGCAGGTTGGGGCAAAATGAGACATCTAGTGCATTATATACTTATTTTTCAAACACCGTTTTGAACTGTAGCAACATGGTCATATTTGTGCAGACAATATGCCCTATACTCAAAGGAAAGTTTCTGCATTGACGTCTAATTGTGAAAAGTGAAATAAGTAATATTCACAATATTCAAAATTTTGTCGCATTTTACCCCACTCTACTCTAACAAAGGCTTGACAAACTGAGCAGTACGAATCCTATACTGTAATGTAAACACATGTTTGTAGCTGCATGATCAGGAGCCTTCACTTAGTTATATCATGTACGAGATAGCACTAACAGCAGGCGTAGAAACCAGGGATTTACAAGCCTAAGCTTATGCCGATAAGGAGGGCATCCCGAAGCATTTTTCGAAAGGTTAGTGGGGGTTCAACCGTACTTTATTTACGTTTTTGGTGCCTTTGTGTGCGTGCATGTAGATGCACACGTGCAAGAATAAAAAAAATTGCAAAGAAGCAGGTATGGACCCCCCCCCCCCCCCCCCCCCCCGTCTCAGCCAACTCTGATGTTACCCACAGAAAATGTTTGCTCATGCCCATCGCTGTTTAAATTTGCACGCACCTTTTAGAAGTCTGCACACGGGCTGTAACGCTCCACGGAGCTTTCCACATTCTAGCTCCTTGAGAAGTCAACCATAGTCACTCACTTTTTTTTTTCATTTTTCTCCTTACCTCACCCTACTTTTCATTCACGCGCACCAGTTAACGCAACACTAGCCACTCATAACTAAATTCCTGACGCGCCGTGCGCACACGCAGCAAAGCACACCGTGCAACCGACGTTACTCACGTTATGCACGTATTGAGAACCCAGGTTGCTTGTGTGCGACGTGCTTCTCTCAAGTCGCGTCGCTCGCGCAGCGTGCAAAAGTAGCGGCCAGCCTCGAACACCGCTTTCACGCGGGGAGGCCCCTACAAGGGTCTCGCTTCGCTTATCGCAATCCGGCCCTAGAAAAAAAAGCGACGCGTCAAGTCATGAATAAGCGAAAGCGGTTACGCTGACTCCGCGGCCAGGTCTCCTTTATCAGTGCTGAATGTTCTGCCCAAACATTTTTTTTTCTTTCTTGTCCTTTCTTCCGCTGAGTGAGAATCGGCCTAGTTTACCTTTCACTTTTCTTCCTCGACAGACGCCTCGCGACCAGTCCTCCTGTCTCTTCCTTCGCTCTTGCCTCTGCGACGTTGTCTTTTATTCCACTTTTGAGTGTACGCATGCGTTTGAAATTTTTTTTTTTTCGCCATGCACTTCCGAGCCTAGGAGTTCCGTACGATGGCCTATCGCTTCTGCGTTGTGTCTGCTCGATCTTTTATGCAGCGTTGACCCGTTAAATCGTGGTGGCTTTCACCCCCTCAAGTACACCGAGTCGTCTACGGCTCCTTTCGTCAGCTCTCGCTCGAAAGCTTCAACTGTTTTCTTTCACTTTTCGTTCTTTAGTTATTTTTAAGTTATCTTTTTAACGCCCCTTCGCCTAGTCTCAAATGTGGGACGAGAGAATGCGCGTGTTACGTGCCGTTACGTCGTTTCCTCGTGTGTAAACGCCACCGACTCCTTTGGAGCTGCCTTCTTTTGAGCGCGAATGTCGCAAGGGGGCAGAGGTGAGCGTTTGAGGAAAGCGTTTGTATCAAAGGCGACGCATGCAAAAGCGACTGGCTGGTGGATGGGCAAGCCGTCGCAGTGTCGTTCAGAAGTATTTGACTTGCAAGAAATGTGAAAGGCCTCTTGCGTCATAAGGTCATTCCTACACTCTGCGATGCTGACGTTTCAGTTTCACAGCGAAGGCCTTAAGTGTTCTCCTTCCCCGCCACGATGGTCTAGTGGCTAAGGTACTCGGCTGCTGACCCGCAGGTCGTGGGATCGAAACCCGGCTGCAGCGGCGGCATTTTCGATAGAGGCGAGAATGCTGTAGGCCCGTGTGCTCAGATCTGGGTGCACGTTAAAGAACCCTAGGTGGTCGAAATTTCCGGAGCCCTTCACTACGGCGTCACTCATAATCATATGGTTTCGGGACGTTAAACCCCGCATATGAATCATCAATAAATTAAGTGTTCTTTTGCGCAGCCTCTTCAGCATTCAAAGACCCACGTGAGCTGCGTCACTGATGATGTCAAGCTTTTACGTCACCATGTGCCGTCATCATGACACCATAAGTCTCCGAAATTTTAGGTGTCATTAGGACGTCATCATATGAACGTCACCGAGACGTCATCATCATGAGGACATCATCAAACGTCGCCAGGACTCCATCGGGACATCATCATCATCAGGACGTAATGATATTGTAGCGATGTTGGGGCACTCGGAGTATTACAGCAGACGTATTTAATAAGGGGGTGAACCTGTGCCCACAACTCGAACTGACTGCGGTCGTAGGACTGCGCGTCAGTCGAACACCAAGGATGTCGTTCAGCCGACTTCTTCCTCTCCGTGAGAAGTTCTGAGCGTGTGGCGCATACGAGCCGGGTCCAGCCAGGTCAGGTGCTCGTGCCTTCATCGTCTCTGCGGGGCACAACACGGCTAGCATGCGTGTCTTGTGCGCGCGGTAATGGGCGCGTTATTTGAATGCAGGCAAAATGTCGCGGCAATATAAACGTTATCAGGACGTCAACATATGACCACACATGACGACATCGTCATGTGACGTCACCGGTTGACAAGCCACTTCATCAATGTGAGACGATCCCAGAGGCAATGTAACACCAAGCCAACAGTGCTTGTTGTTCGGCTAGTTAGTTCATTACTTGAAAAAAAAAATCGTATGACGTAAACAAGCCCGGTGCCACTAAAAAAAGCTTCGGTGTATTCTACAGCCTGTTGGAGTGCCTCTTCTTCTCTGCCCTAACTGTTACCCGTGCAACAGACAGTGATGTCATCAGCGTAAAGGGTATGCATTGTAATTGTGAGAGCCTCTTGGAAAGCTCACAGAGAGCAATATTGAACAGAAGTGGTGAGACCACTGAACCCGGTGGCGTACCTTTGGAGCCAAGAACGAAAAGTTCTGATTTCAGATCTCTTATCTTAGTCATGGCCTTTCTGCTTTTGAGGAAAGAGCTGATGAATGCGTGGAATCTATGCCCCAAGCCAAAACTAGAAATGGAGTTGAGAATATGAGTACGGGAGAGATCGTCAAAAGCTTTCCCCAGGTCTAGTCCCAAGATTGCCCTGACATCTCTCATTTGAACGTCGATAATCCAGTGTCTTATCAGCTTCATGACATCCTGGGTCGTTAACGCCGTCAGAAGCCTATCATGTTGTACGGAAATAAACCATGGCCTTCAATGTGTTGAGTAATGCAGTTATTAATGACGTGTTCGGCCACTTATCCTATGCAGAATGTAAGCGATATGGGTCTTAGATTACAAAGGTTCAGTGGACGTCCCGGTTTAGGGATAAAGATGACTGACACCAGCTTCCACAATTCCGGGACGGTGGCCTGTCCCCATGCCTTGTTAATCTCGCCCCTGAGTATTTGTATAGAAGTATCATCCAGATTACACATAGTTTGATTTGAGATACCGTTTGGGCCTGGGACCCATTGACTATTTAGTTTCGTGAGGGCCTCCCTCAAGTCAGCCATGCTGGAAGGTTCGTCTAGGGACTCCACGTGCGGACCTTCGTAAGGGGAGTAGTCAACATCGCATGAGGGATTAAAGCTGGATAGTTTTTCGCGAGGCGTTAGAGAACTTTTTGTTTTCTGTCTTCTTGCTTGGCCATATAGAGGATTTGGTCTGTAGCACCCCTCTGGTTGAATTTCGAGCTCAATTCTTTTGACAGGTGCTTCAACAAGTTCTCCCTACCTCCTGTGCGCATATGGCCATCGGCCGAGTTCCACACTTCGTCCTATTGTTGTCTAGAGAGCGTGTGACAGTGTGGCCCGCACTGCGTGTACGCCTGGCTCCAACAAGGAGGCTCCACTTCATCTTCGAGAATACGGCCCGGCGTCGGCGTCAACAAGAAGCAGTAGATTGTTGCGTACGACGGACCGATCCCGCCGAAGCCACCACTGTTGCGAAAGACGGGGACGCCAACACGGTCCCGGAGGCGCCACTGCTTTCAACTCCGCCGGGAAGGTCACCAGCCGTTTGGTAGCGTATGTTTATCAGCTCGCGACTGCTTCTGCGCAGAGCTGATAAGACGAGCGGACGAGACGACGGTGAGTTAAACAAGGTTTATGTACAGCATATTTACAGAGGCGTTACAATTTCGGCACTGGGGCCGACAGAGACTCGAAGAGCCGAGCTCTCCTCTCTAACACATAGGTCAGTCTTTCGCCTAAGACCGCTGACTCACACACATGTCGGCACTCCGACACGGGGACTCCTCTCCTAGGACCTCCGATCGCGACGCGCCGCAGGGCTTCTTTTATTTACACCGGGTCCAACCAAAATGTCCAATCAGAAGCGCCGCTGGTCGTCAGGGCAGGTTCCGCCAATGGGGCCGCCGCGCCATGCGTCTGACCACCAGGCACGAGGAAGCCGGCTCGCTGTCACGTGCGCAGATGACTCAATGCACGTGGGCCAGGGAGGCGCCGCGCGTGTTCACTCCGTCGAGTTGATCGCGCCCGGCGGACTGCGGGCTGGCCTTGACCCAGATTGCCTTTTTCAGAGGCACGGACGTTTGACGAGGACTCGCTGGCATAACAGCACCCCCGCCGCCAGACAATGCACCGGAAAGACGAGCTGCTTCCACGGGGCTCGGATGTCAGGTGCGCTCGTTCGCCAGGTCCCTCCAGGTTCGCCTCCAGGGCCATAGGGAGAATACAGCTCCAAACTGTTCCGGGAACACATCCCATTTTTGACGACGGATCCCAGCTCCACTGGCTTGTCGCCACAACTTGTCGACCAGCTTCACTCGTCTCTTCTGACCCTCTTCGGTTTCAGCACTTGTCGATGGTTCTGCAACTTGCTAAGAACGGTTCGACAACCGACAACACACGACACAAGCAAGTGCCCTCGGTCACCCGACAGAACACCAGACAAAGTATAGTACAACATATACCTATCTACGTGTCTATCGGAATTTTGTTCCCTCTACATCAAGAGGCACATGTGGGACACAAGACTCTTAAAATGACAACTCGATTTTTTTTTCCCACGTACAACAACGTAACGAATTAGAATACCACAAAGTTGGCCCCTTGAGATCACTCTGAACGAGAGCGCTCAGCCCAGGTCGTGATGAGGTCAAAATTTTGCCCCGAATCGCCAGCCAGAAACCGAAAGGTTGAGAAGGTACTAACTAAACGCACTGCTCAATGCACCTGCATTAACGTTTACCTTTCTTTTTTTTTTAGCGAACGTCAAAGTTGCGCTGTGGAGCAACATGCTCCACCTCAGTAACCGGCCACTTTTAGGCGACGATACCTATGCGGCACCAAGAGCGGCTCACACTTGCGACGTTGCACAGGGGAACAACGATACGGCTTGCTACAGATTGACTCCTCACCGCTTAGCTCGATATCGTGTTCGATCACCGTCGTGTCTCCGGGACGGTCCGACAACACATACCCAAACTCGGAAACAATCTTTCTCAGGCCCTCTTTCTCAGGTCCTCCGTAACTTAAGCTAGGCTCTAGGTTCAGCTGTTCCCAGATTACTTTCGATCTCCTTTCGATTACCTCACTAGAACTAAAAATTTCTGCTTCCTCTTCCTCTGAAGCACTTAAGAGTAAATTTACGACTGTTTTCAAGTTACTGTGATAAATTTTGTTCGGCCGCCTTCCTAATTTCTCTTCACAATTGGTATCAGAAAGCTTCGATACTACTTTTGCAGGCCCTTCCCAATCAACCTCAAGCTTGTTCCTTTTGGACGGCTGCAGCAGCATTACCTGATTATCAACTTCAAAAGCACGCTTCTTCACCGATTTCTCGTAGTGCTCCTTCGACAGCACTTTTGCCGCGTTTTTCTGGC